CTCTTTCCAGTTCACCAAAATTTCTCATGTACACAGAACACAGTATTCCAGAAGAAGCTTAATGAGTCCTTAGCAGAAAGGAATACGCACTTCCCTCAACCTGCAGGCTACGCTTTTGCTAATGCAGTCCAGTATGCCGTTAGTCTCCATGACATCAAGAGTGCATTGCTGGTTCACATTCACATGGTTGTACATCAAAACCTGCAGGTTCATAAGATTTGCTCCCTAGCCCAATAGTATCCAGTCTGTATCCAGCAGGACATTGCTCCATTCCAGGCGTAAGACTTCACATGTTCCTCTGCTGAACTTCAGGAGGTTTCTGACAGCCCGTTTCACCAGCTTGTTGAGACCCCTCTGAATGGCAGTCTTGCTCTACGCATACCAGGCATTCCCCCAGTTTGATGTTATCTGCAAACTGGACAATGGTGTATTCTATCCCATTATCCAGGTCATGAACGAATATGTTAAACAGTGCTGGCCCCAGGAGAAAACACTGAGGAATGACACTGCTAACTGGCCAACACACTTCAAATCACTGACAACCACTCTTTGAGCTTAAGAGGATTCATACTGACAAACTCTGTTGATCTATGCAACCTTCACCCATTTCAACCAAACCTACCTTCCCACTGATATTAGTACTAGAGTCAAAAGGTAGCAAGTAGATATTTCTTCAGGTTGGTATTGTTAAGCATCAATAGCACATCTACAGTAACAAAAGACACAACTCAAACACACTGAATGAGGGAAGATGATGGTTTTATGTTTGAGGGTTTGGTTTCCACTGCTTGTTCCAATGGACTTGCTAAAGAACTGTAACTTGCACCTTTACCAATGATTCCGCATGCGTGTCGTTTGATGACTGAAATGAGGTGGAGAAGACTTTATCAGTTCATTCAGAAAAACTCAAATACCATTTTTCCACACTTTTTCACTTTCCTTGATTAGCAAATTACTGTAGTTATCTTAAATACCTCCAGAACCAAGTAGTTAAAAAACGTCTAAGAAACACTGCAAGTCTAGCAATTCCTTTCTTCCCTCATTTCAAATTCACAAAGACTGGAAAATCTCTGAAAACATTTTGTGCTATTACAAGTTGAACATTTTAAATCAGTCAAACCCTTTGAGTTCAACTGCTAATCCAAATTATGCCAAATATCAATTATGTCAAATCTATTACATTCAAGTAATTCATAGACTTACGTGAGGTACTTGGTCTTATGTAACCTTTAATCTAGGAATAGAAACAGTTTCATATTAGATTTTCAGATTGAAATTTCATAACAACAGTCTCTACTGCAACTGCCTTTAGAAACAGAACAAATACTTGTATTTATCCCAGCATAGTGTAGCCCATAATTTTACAGATATATAATCTTGTAAATATAAATGAAATTTGAGAGAAAATTTGCTTACATTTGAGAAAATTTAAGTTGCAAAAATTAAAATCTTTGGAGTAAAGCAATAAAATTTTTGAACCACTGACTTCAGACTGGGCGTTTTCTATCTAAAAAACCTAACTTCTCAAAAATAAACAACTTTGGTTTTTCAAATGATTTTCACTGCTACTGTTCTTTTCCTCAGATTTTTTAGGGCAATTTTAAGTTAAACCTTAGTTCAATTTAATACTACTCTTCTCAGAAATACACAGAAATTTAACAAGCTTTGTCAGTAATACTTTTAAAATTTACTAGATCAAACATAAATGAACCGATAAAAAACGCAGTATTGGATACTCTACATTTATTTCCAATTACCTTATACATTTTTAATCCTTCAGTCTTCTCTAGCTCTCCTGCTATCCGTTTGAGAAATGAGACTTTGCATTCTTTTACATCTGTTGTCTTTCTCTTCATTTTATCTGGAAATTCTTTAGACTGTTGACAAAATCAGCTTGAAATGGTCAATATCAAAATTCATAACAATATTAAAAAATTGGCACAAGCTTCCAAAAAACTGGTAAATATTGTTTTAAATGTTATGAGCTAGTTTCTTCTCTGTAACACAATGAATTAAATTTTAATGTTAAAGTTGCTTAAGTAGTCTTCAAAGCAAGAAATGGATACTACGCAAAACTTGCTACGAAAAGGTAACATGCTTTGTACCACATCCAGCAATGGTACAGGCATGCTGAGGAATAAGAAAGAACCACAACGTTCTAAGAACCCGATCCTAGAGGCCATCAAAACACTTAGGAACAGGCTTTGAGCAGATCCAGACACACACCTCTGGATTGCACTTCCTCAAGAGCTCACAGCTTCAGAGCTATTCATGTTGATCTGACCCATGAACAGTCAACCATATGAGTATTAGCAACTTACTATATGGGGGTTTAAATTTCAAACTTGACTTAAGAATTTATAGAAAAAAAATAAAAAGGGAATATCATAAAGAAATTATGATCAAAATGCATCAAAGTTACTCACGATGTATGCTCTTCTGTGTTTATATCCACTAAGATGTTCTATCATAGGTGCCATCTCTGTATTAAACCCACACAGCTTGCACTCATAATGTGGCTCTTTTCTTCCTTGAAATCTGATTTCAACTACATGTTCTAAACCTGCACAAGCGAGAGTTACAAATATCTATATTTTATTATAGACTACTATAAACAAATGTATTCTCTTCAATGTTGCTTATTAAAAGCCAAAATTAATTAATAAAAATATTCCATTTTCAGAATTTCAACACTTCTTCAGGACCACTTCGACACTTCTTCAGACTTATTACCCACATCAGTTAAATTCAACGCTTTACTATGCTTTATTCTGAAAGGAAAAACATTGTCTATGGCAGATTTGCAAGCCCACCAAAATAAAATATTTCATGTGCTGTTTTTCCTGCCTGGGATATTTTCAAGAAACCAAGAAAAAGCCTTCCATCCAATACAGTCAAGTAAGAGAATTAATGGAGAAGTGCATATAAAAAAGAGAATGAGAAAAGGAAATGCCACACAAATGTCTAGATTTAAAAAATGCATTTAAACTACTTCAAACATAATTTGGACAGTGTATAAGTAACACAAAGCATATGTAGGAAAGACAATAATCACATCACAAAACTGAGTCCTTCATAATCTAAAAATGTCCCATAAACTTTTAAGAATTACAGGAATGAAAATGGGATTTTTCTTCATTTTTCCTAGAAACGACTGAAAGACCATGCCTTAGAAGTATTCAGAAATCTCTTAAGTTTGAGGCTTATACCTAGCATGAAAAGTTTTACTCTAAGTAGATTAAATGTAGCAAGTTTATAAGCAGCTTAAAACAAATAGGAAAAACTTGCAGCTGTTCCCTATTATCATAATTTCCAATACTGTGTACTTGTGACGGGTTGACCCCAGCCAGCAGCCAAGCACCACACAGCTGCTTGCTCACTCACATACATTTTTTTCCCATCAGCAGGATGAAGAGAAGACAGGAAGAGCAAAAGCGAGAAAACTCAAGGGTTGAGATAAAGGCAGAGTAATAGGTGAAGAAAAGGGAGTGGGAAACATGTGAAAACAAGTTACTCACCTCCCCACAAGCACAAGGGAGTGGGAAACATGTGAAAACAAGTTACCTCCCCACAAGCAGATCAATACCCAGAGAGTCTCTGGACAGCTACCTTGGAAAAAACCCTCCCCTCACCCCCCCATCCCACCTTTTTCTTCCTTTACCTCAATTGTGACTGCTGAGCATGACATTGCACAGTACAGAATATCCTTTTGGCCAGTTTGGGCCAACTGTCCTCTCCTGTCTCTCACCCACCCCCAGGCTGCTCAAGGGGTGAGGGGTGGGGACCCGGAGTGAAAAACAGAGAGTCTGGACAATGTGCACTGCTTGGCAACGGCCGAAACACTGGCGTGTCGTCAGCACTGGTTTAGTCACAAATTCAAAACATACAGGCTGCTATGGAGAAAGTCAACTCCATCTCAGACCCACTACAGTATTATACTGCTAATCTTAACTCTGAAAATAAACTATCACCAAATGAACTGAGTATACAAGAAAGTAACACTTATTCACCTTTTTCTAGTAAAAATACTTGTAATAGTAAATCGCTATACTTTTTCATATTAATATCGTATGTAGAGTAATGGCAAGACACTGCCTAAACGGAGAAATTCTCTGCTAACACTAAGAAATTTGCTACTTAGCTGTTCATCAGGGAACATGTTTCTCTAGGCCACCGGCACCAAGCACATACTGGGAACACTAAGGCCTCTGACGAGCAGCCTTGCTTATCCTCTCCTAAGGGTTGCCTAATCTAGTAATTAGAAAGAAAGAAAACCTTAAAATTATCTCATTACTTTTAGCATTCCCAAAGACAGTGAGGAAAAATATCTCACTAAACAGAAACACCCGTATACCACACCAAATGGAAACCCACAAAGAATCACCAGATGACAAGTCGTCACTGGCATGAAGTCTAGTTGGAGGCCAGTAGCCAGTGGTGTACCCCAAGGTCAATACTGGGTCTAGTCCTGTTTAACATCTTCATTAACAATCTCGATGATGGGGCAGAGCATACTCTCAGCAAGTTTGCTGATGACACAAAACTGGGAGGGATGGCAGATACACCAGAGGGTTGTGCTGACATCCAGAGGGACCTCAACAGGCTGGAGAGTTGGGCTGACAGGAAATTCATGAAGTTCAGCAAGGAGAAGTGCAGAGTCCTCCACCTGAGGAGGAACAAGCTCAGGTACCAGTACATGCTGAGGGCAGATCAGCTGGAAAGCAGCTTGGCAGGAAAAGACCCCTGGACACCAAGTGGAATGTGAGCCAGCACTGGGCCCTTGTGGCCAAGGCTAATGGTATCCCGGGCTGCACAAGGAGGAGTGCTGCCAGCAGCCTGAAGGAGATATTCCACCCTCTCCACTTATCACCACTACGGTCATGCCTTGAGTGCCATGTCAAGTTCTGGGCTTCTCAGTACAAGAGACAGAGATACAAAGGGCCATAAAGTTGATGAAGACACTGGAGTATCTCTCCCATGAGGAAAGGCTGAGACTCTTCAGCCTGAAGAAGAGAAAACTCAGGAGACATTCAAAAGCCATCTGGACATGGTCCTGGGCAACCTGCTCTGGGTGACTCTGCTTGGGAAGGGGGTTAAGAGCAGGTGACCTCCAGAGGTCCCATCCAACCTCAACTACTACATGACCTGCGAAAAGCTTGTTTACTAAGATAGCTGCTTCAGGAACAAGTTGTCTAACAATTAAGGTGTATAAAAGAGGTGACCTTTATAGTACTCAGCGTAATAAACTAAAATTTAAAAGGTATAAGAGATAAGATACATACTATAAATTATTCAATAAATTTACAGAAAACAAAATAATATCTAAAATTCCACCTTTTCTTTCAAAACAAAAGCCATTTGGTCACAAATTCAAAGACATACCATTTAGAAAACAAAAAACATACCAACTAGAGGCTCTTCTCTTTTGGGATCATTCATAAAATCCTTCAGACAGGTTATGTCCTTTGTGAGTCCTCTCTTCACTAAAGTAAAAAATACACACATATAGAGATATTACACATTAGACAGTTTGTACATAATTTTTATGATCCTAAAGGAGTTTCTCATGGAGACTTTAGCAGAGACAAAGCTAATTTGCACTCTGAAATGCATAAGGAAAATAGGCAAGATCTCAGTCACTCACAAAAAAATTCCAACACTCTCTGATTTCCTAACAATTTTACATGCAAAGAATTAATGACTTCAAGAAGACAACCAAATAAGGAAAACAGACTTCTAACACAATCCAATTTACTCACAAAACATACCAACTTCACATTCATAGCACGCCCCAGACCACGTCAGTTCTCATTAAAAAGAAAAAAAAAAAAAGGAGAGGGAAAAAAAAAGGGAGGAGAAAACCACATTTAAAGTATTCCTCATCAACTCAGAGCACCAACAAGAGTTCAGCTAAATGTATCTCCAAAATAATCTCAAAGAGGCATTAAGTGTATTCAAGTGTTGGCCATCATAAAAGAGCACGCTGAAGTGTTAAAATACATCATTTTAATCTGAGGAAAAAAAGTGCAGAGATGGAACTCATCTTCCTAATTACATACAGCTGTATTTTAATTGACTGATGAATTTCAGAAGAGTCAAACACTGCTAGTTTCTCCAAATCAGAGCAAACAAGTAGAAATAGCACAAGCACTGAAATATTACTGTATTCTTTCCCCTTAGGATGCCAGATTATGGCTTAAAAAAAAAAAATTAAAAACTTCAGAAGAATGGGGAATTCTGTGTTTGCTCTTAAATACTCATTCCATTAGGAATATGCTTGTGCTGCCATCAAGTCAAACTCCTAGGCTGCACACACACAAAAAAGTAATTTACAAAGTAAGAGGAAAACCTCTTACAATCTAACTTGTGATAGAAAATACCTGATGGGGCTCCTCCTGCCATGGGGACAGTGTGGCCCCTTACCACCAAAATTTCAGTCTTGTCCAAAAAAAAAAATAAAATCTTTCTCTGTTGTTTTTCATCTGAGCCGACATGCGGCAGTAGCACAGTGTGACAGAGGTGACATGTAACAAGCTGCTGCCAGATAATCAGTTTCCATAGATGGATTTTTAGCAACACTTATATGTATTATGCAGTTCTTGCGCATTTGTGTCTCTGTGCCGCAGCTCTCAGTGTGAGCTGGCTGTTCCCAAGCTGGCAGGGATAGGCATGTGGTCTTTTGGGCTTAATATGGAAAGATCCACGTAGAAAAAAAGTTAAAGGTATCTACCAGGTAATGGCCATTTTCTTCTTGAGTCCTAACATACAGTTAAATATTCTCGTCTTAGTATCATCTTGATAAATAATAAACAACCCATACTGTTCTAAGTTTATATGCTTTTGTTTTGTCAAACTTTCACTGTATCATACGTGTACACACATGCATGCTGCAAAATTTTCTGTTGAAAAACTTCACCAGCTAAAAAAAAAATATTAGCCAGATTCATGGATAGCAGATGTTATCAGATGATCAGCAAGACAGAAACTATGTCTCAAGTTTGAAAGTCTTTCTGTGAAAATACTTGTAACTTCATATTCTCCTAAGATCTTTTCTTAATAAATTAACCACTGCACAACAGAAAAGCAATGGTTCAAATGTTCGGTAACTTGCATTGCTGCTTCTTAAACTTTAATCAACTACCTGCTTTGGTCATTATTAAAACAAAACCACAGATTTCAAAGTTGCACCTGAAAAGGACATTAGCTCATTTATATTCAGCTACCTGGTCTCTGTGTTTCATACTTCAGAGTTCGGACTGGAGCTGGAGGACCTAGGATAACAGTTTGACAGTCAGACCACTTCTTCTCACTTGCTTTTATTAAGTACCTAGTAGATCATCCAGACAAGTTCAGAGAATTGGACAGTTACCTTCATTTTACAGTGCAATATAGGCTCAGTAATGGCAGTATTCCATTTTGGTGCAATTTCCTTTTGTAATCTTACCATTCTAAGTAAGGAAAAGTTTTCATTTCCAGTCCCCTTCCCCATCAACACAATATACCAAACAAGAATGTCACAGAAGCACGGAGTATTCAATTTTTATTTGATTTTTAAGTGCTTTTCATACTGCCTAGTTATTTTAACTACTCAGTATTGTGCTTGACAGTTGATGTGTGTTACAGGCGCCAGACACAAAAATTCTGGTCTAAACATTTAGAGCCTGAACACAGTCTCAGAGACAATTCATAAATTCATTAGACTGCATCTTCTTTTACACATGGATCTGTACATATTCCTAATCACTTAGAGCCTCGGAGTGAATTTTTAGACTGATGTGCTTTGTAAAGGTGCTCCCACTCTCTTCCTTTGGAATTTCTTCCCTTGCATCCCCCTTTCCTCAAATCCATAGACACAGACACACCCCAGGTGAGCTTTAATGCAGTCAAGATTAAAACAAGATCACACACCAGTACTCCTTTACTGGAAAAAGTGAAAGTTTAACTTAAACTATGTATTTGTCCATGTAATTCCTATTTTTGAAGCAAAGTTTTCCATAGTCATGGCAAATACAACATGTTGTATACATCAATGGTTTTCTCCTCCTTCTGCACAAGTCAGGCAGTTAAGAGATACATATCAAAGCTGTAAATCAAATTAAAGTTGCAAATATTTTGCAAACAACTCTGCAATACTAACATAAGGGAGGGGTATGAGAAAGAATTATCTCCCTTGATTTCTTACAATAAATTCTTCTGTCAAAAGCTTCAAAGTCTCTGGTAGCATGAACAAAATAAGATCTTCGTGTACTCTGCAAGTACAAAAACTACTTAATTCCAGAGTTGTTCAGTTAGTGCCTGAAGCCCAAGTTAGATTCCAGGTCCAGCATCTGCAGACTGACAACATGGCCAAATGCTCAATGACACGAATAGACACCTGCGAAATAAGATTTTTAGTGCTTTATTTTCTTTCTACGTCTAGGAACAAATTATATTTGCAGAGAATTGCACCAGAAGCAGCTCACGGTGCAGTCTGCCTTAACATGGTTGAGGTTTACAAATATGTTTAAGTTAAAACTCAAGCTGTAGCTGCTAATATCACCAAAGGCAGCAGTTCAGGGTTTTGAGATTACTTTTTTTTTTCTTAAAAAAAAAAAGAAAAGAGGGGCACTTAAATATAATCATTGCTGGCTGCAAAAGTTTAACAAAGCAATTATGATCTTTAAGACACACTCCCACTCAGCAGCAGCAGGTTGACAAGTTAACATTTAGTTCACGTTTACTAGCCACATGCCTTTGTAATGCTTTTACTAATGTAAGTTATATTTTTTTAAGCATCTAAACACCAAACCACAACAGTATTTTCCCTTAAAGCATATAAGACTGACCAGTGAACTGAAAATCAGCTGGACTTCCAGCCTCAAAGGGCAACAACGAACAGCTCAGCCTCTTGGTGTTCAGTAAGTAGCAGAGTACTCCAAAAATCGCCTCCAGGACCCATAACAATTAACATCACCATCAATAACCTGGTTCAGGATGCACAGAACACCTTCAACAAATTCACAGACGTAAATTTTGACGAGTTCAGAGAAGATATTATACATGGCGTGTCCCATTTAAAAACACTCAGAATCCAAATAATTTATCGTCTTAAATTTTGGTTTACAAGTGATAGCAGCATTGGTGGTGTTCTCTCTACTGACAAAGGAAGTTTCTTTAAATTCTGCAGCAAGGAAGAAAGCTTCAGACAGGAGAGCTTTGGTAAGTTCTGCCTATATATTGAATATGTAATTCTGCATTGCCGTTCCCAAAATGAAATCTGAATTGCCATCTCTGAAAGTTTACTCTGGTGGAAAGCTTTTCTACGTGCTAACAGAAAACAAAAAAAAAGCCCCACCGCAAAAAAAAAAACACAACAACCCAACAACAAAACCCACAAAACACAACTCAAACATACAAATAAACTTCATCAGGTCAAGTTTCAGCCTCTTTTGGACAAATAAACCCTAATAGTGGCTTGCAAATTGGCCTCCCACATCTGGATCATCAGTGAAGCAGAGTTCAGTATGAATAAAGTAGAATAAAGGAGACATCAATAGTATGAATAATCATTTCATGTTAGAAGTGAAATACGTTGATAGCTTCAAAATGATTACTGAGGCACAGAACTTTCTGGATTAAGGCACATCTTGCAATGCTGCTGACATGTGGTACCCTGTGATGCTGGGACTCCTGCAGAAGTCAGCCCTAACTCGTTTACCAATGTTTCACGTCTAGATTCTTCACCTCTATAATCATATATTTTAACTTATAAGAAATATTACAGTTGAAAGATTCTAACCTATGACACTTCCACAGATGCAGTGTTTATAACGAGCATGGGTTCTGAACCAGAATTCTCCATGGAACGCTGAGCTTGTAGTACCTCAAGCAGTACTGTTTTCTAAAGGTCTTTGCAACAGGCTCCTGTATTCCACTGCTCTTTTTACAGTCTTGCAGCCACACCTTCCGTCCTCTTATTCAAGCCTCACCTTCCGTTCCATGCATCCTTTACATTACTCCTCCAAAAGGAGATTTTTATGGTCTTGAAGCAAGAACCTCTTCAGTTAATTAGTACTACTTTTAATGACTGTTTCTGACAAGAAATACAAAGAAACCTCTAGAAATTGTCTTCCACTAAAAACACTAGCCCATAGCCAAAGAAATCTGTTCTTGTTGCTGAGGTAATAAATACAATTTGGACTGCTCAAATCCAATGGATTTTGAGAACTCTATGTATTCAGAACTTTTGCAGGAATTCCGACAAGAAGCTTCACTGCCAGTATTTCTAAAAAGAGAAGGTCTGCATACAGTACTCATGTCTGCTGAGGCAAAACATCTCATAATTGTTCACACACTTAAATGATACGTCTTGCATTGATATTCTCTTGTCAACATCAAACCATGAGAGCAGCTAATGAAGCCCAGTCTCTTGGAAAATGGACTCTGACCAGTGCTTTTCTAAGTCTTTCTCTTGTGCAGGGTTCAGTACGTGGTCAGCTCGGGCTGCAGCACTTCCCTCAGCAGAGGACTGACACCATCACTCTTCTCTGTGCAGATGTGTATTTCCAGGAACCCTTGATCGACTTGGTTCAAAAAGGCTGAAAGGTTCAAAAGATACTGGGGAACAGATGACAAAGCCAGAATGTAAGCTTTGTGCCTTAGGAAAACAGGCCAAGAAGATAAAGTGGAAGTAAAAGGCTTATTTCTTGTGATGACTGACTGCATAACCATTTTGGGTTTTAATCTTCTCATTGGTTTTTATCAGCATTCCCATATTTGCCAATGTTTTCTGCTTCCTGTACGTCATCATCAGTGTCTTTACCACAAGATTTCCATTTCCACTATCAGTTAGTTACATCCCATCTTTTCAATCTTTCACAACAACTCTTATTTTCATTGACATTTCTGGAATCACATTCCCAGTTTCTAGGGGAAAAGATACCCCAACAACTGAGTTTACCTTGAATAGGTCTTTGCTACTCCAAGTTCACTACAATAAAGAGAGGCAGAATATTCCTGTGATGCAGCTAGGCAACTCCAGAGCTAGGAAAGCCGCACCTGCAGTGGTGCTGGGTTAGCCTTCTAATTCAGCTTCTTAACATACTGCCTGAAGCTTAGCAGTGAGTGCAAAAAGCTGACAGACAAGTGGAAGACAGGGAAGGGTTTGAGAAGGTAAGAAAACAAAATACTGACTATCCATTCCTCTACTAGGCAGATATACAAATAGTTAGGTGTGGAAAGGCATAATTACAGTTTCATGCTCTAAAATATTTCTTTGCTCAGCAGTTTACTAGATAGAAATCTCAAAAGAATGTTCAGCATATAAAGAGAAACACAGTTATAGACACACAAATTCAGCAAATGCAGTTACCTGAGCTACTAGAAAAGTAACAGCATTAAAATCCCCAAGCAGTATTTATCCTAGGAGGCTGGAAAGAAAAAAGCATTATACTTACAATAGACAGTCTTGGGTCTCAGGGCTTTCTCTTTCTTTAATTATGAAGATGCAAGTCATCCCAAAATAAAATAAGAAAAAGAAATTAATATGCTGCACCATTTGAAGGAAAAACCCTGTACTTCCCGAGAAGCCTTTGCAGATGAATTACATTACAGGCCAAAGTTTCTGTTATCAAATAGGAAAAAATAGAGCCTTTACAATTTTCTGCAAAAGCTGGAAGTACTGACAAAAGCGTACGGTTAATACAAGGTTAATCTCAAGAAAGTACTGTTATTAATTAAGTTTTAAAGAGATGATTATGGCTTGAAACACAACATCTCAAGGATGCCAGACAAAACCCCAGTTCTGCATGACTACAGCTCCTAAGTTTCCAAAAGTTGTAGTTCCAGCAAAAAAGAGGAAGAAAACTCGCCTCAAAAGGAAAAACAAACTAACAGAAAAGAGCTCACCCACCATTTTGAGTGGATTTGACTAAACCTTAAGGCTAGCCAAATCTCCTGAAAATTCATTCATATCATTAAGAACAGGAAAAGCAGCTTTCATCAGCTGAATCCAGAACAGATTACTTTTTGGCAGAATCTAAGGAAAAGAGGAACTTAAACTTCCATTTCAGAACGTGGCTAAAACAATCCTGACTCATTTTGAGAGCTTTTCAGCAAATAAACACAAACTTGCCATTTACAAGAATGAAACAATAAGTGTGGTCATTCTACCAGTAAAGCAGCTGTCTGCCCAGAGCAGTTCATGGAGCCAAGTGCTGTATTTTCAGTATTCACTGCCATGGAAGGGATGCTGCACATTGGTGTGACAATTCAGTAGGAAGCAAGACTGACACAGTAGTTAATTGTTTAAGAAGCCAAATAGCTGTTTTCATGGCAGTTACAAAAAAGGAAGCTACCTAAGTCCCAGTATCACCACAGATAGTGGGTTGTGGTGTAAGAGCTCAGCAGGATTTTATAAACTTAGAATACAGACACATTCCCCCTTGTAGTTACGCTGCCACAAATATTTTCCTTACTTGTCATTCTACAGAGTTTTACACCAAACAGCTGCTAATACCTAACTTTTCAGACAAGGGTAGAGAACATTAGCAATTTCGAGCTGCTGCTCAAAGAGAATTTCTTCCTGACCATTTTCACACAATCAACTTTGACTGCACTTGGACTCAAGCTAATGGTCCATTTCACTTGTGACCCCTTCTTGAGGTTTCTTTAACAACAACAACAAAAAAA